TGGTCGTCGGAACAATAAAATCTAATCGTCTAAACATAGTGATCAAATCACAATGTTGGACGATTAGATTTTATTGTTTTGTTAAAATGGTTACAGGTCCTATGTCTGTAACCAAGGCTTGATGGTTTTTATACCAGTTTCATGTAGTTTAATTCTCCTAAACGTTGTAATTTTCCCAGTATTGTCCCACACTGTGCAACCTGATACAATATCGTTAATTGTTTCTGGATATTCATTGAAGAATATGTATTTCGGGGTGAAAATTTTTTTCAGTATGTTTCCTTGGTAATTGCTATTCAGTAAGCCTTCGTCCTGTGCAGGAAGGATTCCAACTGTTAATCCTACGTAACTCCTGACGGATATGGGAATTATCTACATCTACTTGCTCTTCTTCATTCATTTGAAATTTCACTTTGAAATTGTTGTCTTTCTTTATTATTAAATAAAGTTTCTTATTTCTTTCGTGGTCTTTGATACAGATCATCATTCAGTTTTCTGTAGGTCCTAGGTATCTTTGAAGATCGATTGTTGTTGACAGTTCTAGTTGAACTAATCCTCTGCCACCTTCGGATCTGGAGACATACAAATGATCAACATCAGAATTATGGTGATGCACGCGATAGCAATTGAGAACTTTTCTCATTTTGACATCAATTCGCTTAATGTATCGTTCAGTTAAGAATGTTGAAACTGTATTACACCACAGGTACACACAAAATATTTATGGTTAATATTTTCCCTTGTGAAGTCAACTCGGTATTTGCCACCAGATGCACATTCCTGTAGCATTCTTTTTTACTTACTCCTTCGTTTGGTTATACTGTATTCCATATACTCTGCAGACTCATTTTTAGGGTTCTTGTTCCAGTTCACTAATCTTTGTAACTAAATCTACATCAATTGAGTGTGTTTCAGTAATTCAGCCTTTCTTGAATGTTACTTTTGCACATTTATCAAATCCGAGGTATATACCGATGTCATCACGGTAACATTTTATGATATTTTGGAGGCCATTCAACTCATTGTTGTCTCTCGTAAAAGGTTTCAGGTTAAGTATGTAGAATAAGTGATTAAATGCTTCGTTGTTTATTTTGTATTCAAAGTTATTACTGTTTAGTTCATGAGATATGAAGATTAGGGACAGACAGACAAACAAAAGATGGGGAAGAAGAGATATATTGAGGGAGACAGACCGAGAGAGAAAGATAGTTACACTTCCTCAGTAAGTCTCTTTCTCTATCGCTCTATCGTGCATCGATATAACCATCACTTAATAATATCAACAATGAACATGGACACAATATCTTGATCGTGTTTTGAAAAATTAAAACATTATATAAATACATACATGCAACAAACTATTTCTTATTTAACAGTTAAAATATTTCATCCTTGAAAATGGCTAAATGCATAGCTGAAATCGCTCGGCATAAAAGAACATTCGGACAGTTTTTATATAATTTATCATCTGAAAAGAAAACAAATATTAGTTCGCATGAGAAATTGTATCAAAAAACTAAATCAAACACCTTGTCTGTCGTATTCAATGAAATGTGCATGAAAGAAGGATTGTTGCCAAATACAAACACACACAGACACATACGTATCTATCTATCTATCTATCTATCTATCTCTCTCTCTCTCTCTCTATATATATATATATATATATATATATATATATATATAGATAGATAGATAGATAGATAGATAGATATAGATATAGATATAGGCAGCTTTCTTTTCATTCATGCATGTTTGGTTAAATAATTTAGACGTATTATATCTATTTAATACTTTCAAGTCCATGAATTAATTTCTTGGTCGCTGTAGAAAATTGAATAAGAAAAAATACAAAATGTTCTTTCAAATAATTTTTATTTTCCCAATACTTTCAATCTCATTGAAACCATCTTTTAAAATATCTATGGAATCGTATACAGTAGTTCCGTAAATTCAAAATATTTTTCACTGTTCATTTACTGCGGTCCAAATTCGTATATGCAACCTGGATAACCTTTTAATTTTTTTTTTTAATTTTAGTGTGTAAAAGATATTTACTTTTTTAGTTATAATATTTTAATTTAGTATTTTATATAAAACTTTGCTGCGACAAAGATTTAAGAACATTGTTACTATACTCATAGGTGATTTTATTTATTTTTGGTTGCAATTCTTTCATATAAAGGTCTAGTAGAATTTTAAGTTTTTGCTTATTATTATATTGATGAAGTATTAATGTATTTTCGAATAATATCTGTATAAACTGTGAATGTGTTCATTTAAATATTCTGAGATTGAACTATGCTCATTCAAGTGAAACTTAAGCCGTCACGTCAACTTCGTCGTTGAAAACCAACGTTTTAAATTGTGGACTTAAAAGTTTTAAATATATATATATATATATATATATATATATTATATATATATATATATAATATATATATATATATATATATATATATATATATATATATATATATATATATATATATTTTTCTTGATAAAGTCCCTCCGATAAAGAAACGCGTCGGCTAAGATAAGTTTTATTTTTGCCTTTATTCATATATATATATATATAAATACATTTTTATGTTTATACATTCTTTTCATAGATACAAATATTTAAGTAAATGCTCTGTCTATAATAAACAGTATTAAACAACATTTACCGGCCTGAATGTCCGAGAAAGTTTGACAGAAAATATCGTCCTCCGACAGGATTCGAACCTGTATCCTATATGGAACCGTCATTTAGCTTGACGTGCCTTTTACCGATTTGGCGCGTTCGGTTAGCATTTACTGTGGTCAAATCGGTAAAAGGCATGTCAAGCTAAATGACGGTTCCGTATATGATACAGGTTCAAATCCTGTCGGGGGACGAATATTTTCTATGAAAATTTCTCGAACATTCAGACGGTAAATTCTGATTAATACTGTTTATTATAAACAAAATGTCTTAAAATAATTGTTGGACTTTGTCCATTTCATAATGTGTGACGTCATATATATATATATATATATATATATAAACGCACAGAATAACTATTCAGAAAATTTGATCAACAAATAAAAAATCTGATATTTAACCCTTCTGTTTTTCATATATCTAAAATTGTACAAAATTAAATTTACGCTGACATGGAGGAATATTTACAAGTTTTCATATGAAATCAAGAAGACACGAACTTTAAACATAGTGGTCGCAACGTATGGAAGCATATAGGGGTAATATCCACATGGTTTCCCTTTAAACTAACGCTTTCTCTTTTCATTAGATACATAACAACTATAATTATAAACTATAATTTTCACTGAAATATCGAGGAAAATTTACAAGTTTTCATCTAAAATCAAGAGAATATACAATTCAAGCAATAATAGTCACAACAGATGGGAAATGAACAGGTGTCAGTTTGAAGATATATTAAAACATGATTCCATAATCGCTTTCTATGTCGTCCATTTAAGAATACAGGCTGCGATATTACAAGAATTCTTGCAAAAAAAAAGTAGCAACAAAATGCAAACGTCTATACAATATTCGATTGGTAAAGATTTCAACTCTCGGTGGGATATCATATGCTTGCAGCAGTTTTAGTGAAAACAGTTTTCAAACACTGTATTCTGTCCCAAATTTTCAAAAATGTCGCTGGCAACTTTTGCTACAAACACAAAACACACACACACACACACACACACACACATATATATATATATATATATATATATATATATATATATATATATATATATATATATATATATATTCACTTGCAAGTTTTTGCATAAAGTTTCAGCTTATCTTTAGCAGGTCAACCTTCGATAATGTCACCGGAATCTTTTGCAGCGTTCACATATACACACACTACTCACACACACTACTCACACACATACACACGCGCTTGCGCACACACACACACGCGCTTGCGCACACACACACACGCACACACACACGCGCGCACACACACACATACACACACACACACACACACATATATATATATATATTGCACCGCCATTTGTAAAGTATATGTTCGTATCTGCAACGAAGAATGTCATATGTCTGCTTTGCTGGATAAACACATGTTTTAATTTTATTAACGTAATGGAAGAAGGGCGCTTCCCAAAATATGTCATCGTCCGCCTGAATTGGGCAAGATGTATAGAAGGAACGGAATCTCAGACGTGTGAAATGCCACGCCATTTCCTGGAGTGCTGAGAAATTAGATCTTCCTTTGTTGTCGCTGAAGAACGACTGACAACTCGGAATTGTCGACTCAGCCCTATAGAGAAACCAGGTCTTCTCCTTTGTTACTTCGGTAAAGAACCAGAGGCACCTTGATATTAAGAATTGTACCGAAATATTGAAAAAATATAATCCATTCGCTAACAGAAACGCTGTTAATCATTTGTAAACGAAAGAGGCATCGGGATAGATTTTTATATTCCTGTGCTTATTCCATTTTGTCTTTTTAATTTGTCCGTTCGATATTTCTTCTTTTACGCGATATATATTTTTTATTCGGGGTTGGTGCATAATTCTCAGGCGTTTTTGTGGGTGAGATATTTGTTAATAAAAATTGCTGTTTTGTTTACTTTTTTTTATAAAAATATTTTATTTTCAGGTTATAAAAATGCGTGTCGATAATCGTACTCATTTAAAAATATTAATGTTGAATTGTTATGTTTCTTTTTTTTAACACAAATTTTATTAAAAAACACCTGATAATTATGCACCAATCCAATATGTTAAGAAATGTTGATATTTAATCAGAATCCCCCCCCCCAATTTCAAAGAAAAATGACAATTTCTTCACGGATAAAAAGAAGACTTTAACCAACCGAGAGGTTTGTTCTACAGAAATGTTTTCTACAGAAGAATACCATATAAGGAACATTTGATCAACGAGGAAGATTTATGGAATGTGGGTAGGCTAAAATGACACTGGTGCTCAGAACAAAAAATAAAGACAGTTGTAATTTCCGAAACACATATAGGCTTACGGCCATATCAAGTTGAAATACCAGTTCCCGTGAGATCACCGAAGTTGAGCCACGTCTAGTCTGATCATTACCTAGTTGGGTGAACGCTTGGGAATACCACGTGCTGAAAGCCTGGATGCGCGGGTGGTGTAAATGATAAGAGCTTGGAATTATTAATCGAAGAAATGAATTCCAATTCCTTTTGGCTTGGTTTCACGCAAATACCCTTGGGAAAAGGTAAGAATTCACCTCTTCCCCTATCTATGGGTTAATTAGTGAGGTTTATATCAGTAAATGTTTAATACCTAAAAAAATTCTTACAGTCTAACAATATTTTTGAAGTTTAAAATATTCTACAAATGGCTGATAAACCGTCGAATACGAATCAATCAGACAGAACACAACGAGGAAAGGGGACTTGGAAAATATGACACTCACCTGACATATTGTGAGAAAGAGGAAACGGCGTATAGCCAACCTAACGAGCTTGTATGACTGGGGGGGGATAGTAAAGAGACAAACATTTCTTAGAGCGACAAAGGATAAGAAGTTGTGGAGAGCCATGGTTGCCCATTACCTGAAGGGATACAACACATAGAAGAAGACGAAGGACAATGCATTGTCACATTCTTTGTGAATGTTTTTAACCGCATTCGCTAAAAAAATTGACTCAAAACAATTTCCTTAGTTTCTTGTATTTAGTATTTTTGAAAAACATGATATTGCTTTAAACTGCTGGAAGTATTTTTTCTCTTGAAGAAAAGATATTTGAAACACTAAAACACGAGATGCTAAAATTTGAGACTGTCGCAATGGATGTCATAAAAATGAATTCCATCCGGGCAGAACTTGGGAAAATTTCAGTTTTCCTATTTGAATTTTCTGATGAATCATAATTCTTAAGTTAATGATCGGATTAGCTGTTTGCAAGTTCTACAATTATAAAATACCAATGGAAATTAACTTTATGAATCGGTATATATTTAAGCATAACAGCTTTAACCAAATGTTGCAATAACAATCATAAGGACGAATGAAGGACATTACTTAAAGCAAGATCATAAAAAGGAAAAGATTCAAAACAGCCAACGTGTTTCATTTCACTGAAACAGACGTTAAATATATTAGAGTGTTATTATATTATATTAGAAATCTTACGGATTATAAATCTTACGGTTTTTCTTATTATCTTAATATATGTATCAGAGAGTTATCACTTCCTCTATCTTCTACTACGTCTTCATCTACTTCCTATTATTAATATTATTTTATTGCCTTTGATTTCTGGTGTGTAGTCATTTCTTTCAGGGTCCCGACCAGAGACCTTAGTTCAGAAATGGCATCATGACATTTTCCCCTGAGCAGTTTTGAAAAGAAAATCACACATATTTTACAGCGATAAAGCCCTTCATAAAGTGTTTGTATTTCATTAACGCATGAGCCACTAGGAATCCCTTTAGTGTGTTTAATGGAATTTTTTCCAATCAACCCAAGGGTTCCAGCTACAACTGGAATTGTTGATGTCTTTATATGCCATACTTTTCAGATTTCGATTTCAAGGTCCTTGTATTTTGATAGTCTTTGAAGATCTTCAACGATACATTGCAGTCTGCAGGGTCTGCCATGTCAATAAAAAGACACATTTTGTCTTTGCGGTCTCTAATCACGATGTATGGGGTATTAGCTTTCATTGTTCTGTCTGTGTGTATTATAAAGTCCCATAAAATTGTTACAGGTCCTGTCTCTGTAACCGGATCTGGCAGGTGTTCATACAAATTTCTTGCAGTTTTCTTTCCGTAAATGTTGCAGATTTTCCAGTGCAGATATTGGCCCACTTTATCATGCCGACTTTTATATTAAGTTGATGTCAAATCCACTAAACTTAATACAAAATGGTCAATTTTTTCTGGATATGTATCACAGAATCTGCATTGAGGGCTAACACAATTTTTCAGTATGTTTGGTAATTTCTAGTTAGCTTGTATTGGTCCTGTGCAGCAAGAAAAAACTCCCGGTTTCAGCTTTTAACCCTGCACCACGTAGCCACTGATGAGTACAGGATTTGTCTACATCACCTTGTTTGATACGGGCAGAGTATTGACCGTGGAGCGTTTTATCCTGCCAGTGTTTCTGTATTTGGTCGGATGCATTTACCTTTGCTTTCTTTTTTAAGTATTTTGCAGCTGCGCTAGGTGTATTATGCTTTACTTGCATTTCTTCACCTATTTATTATTATTATTATTATTATTATTATTATTTACACTTTCTTTTTCTCGCTAAAAACAAACAGCATCTCCGATGTACGTTTTACTTCCGCGTTTCCTCACAATCCAAAATAAATGGTCAATTATATGCCTCTGGTATTAGCAGGTTGTAAATAATTTTGTCTCTAAAGAAGGGACACGTCAAATTATAATGGGATTTTAGAAACTCTTATTGCTAAATGAACCAATTCATGCTAGCTAAATAAATGAGTTACATGAATAAGATTCTGGTATGAAATTGTAGCTTTTTTTCCAGATTGGCACAATTGTTAAGATCTTCTGACTTAAATAATATTGCTTCCTACTTCGATAAAAACAATCTCCATCTAAATATCGAATTTAAATCGCTTCTCGTGTGATAATCTGCCATTTCTTCCTCACTAGATGAAAAAGAATCGCATTGAAATCCTTATAAAATAAGTAGACCAACCTCAAAACACGGTCCATCTGTTTACATTTGGAATGTATTTTCGTCGTCAGAAACAAAGAATCCTTGACGAATCATTGGACGGAATCCAGTCTAACGATCATTAGGCATGAAGATTTAACAAAAATAAAGGAGAAGAAATAATAATTTATGAGAAAGATGTAAATTTCTAACTGGTGGCTTTGACTCACTTCGTTCCTTATTCTGGTTTTTCTGAAATCGGCTGATTTTTCTTTTGTATTTAATATCATATCCTCTTACGAAGTGACGTCTATTAATTAAGATGACATTTTTTTCTTTTTACAATAGACACCAATTCAATATACTCTCAATATTTTTCCTCTCTGACACCTTCCTGATGCCTAGCATAGTTTTAAACGATCTAAAGCAGATGCGGGATACTTGCTGTCTTTTCATTTCACAATGTTTTTGCTTCACTAAAAATTCTGTCAGAAATGCTGTTGTCACTTCGACAAGTTTGAAATTAAATTTCCAGCACGCTACTTCCGTAAGAGAGACAAATCGCTATGTTTTGGGACAGCTCGCTGTTTGAAAAACAACTGGCTTTGAAAATAGCGTAAGAATTTCAGATCGTTCGCATGGAGCAAAACATTAAGTTGTGACACATTTGTTTCCTTTCCGTAAATGTTGCAGATTTTCCAGTGCAGATATTGTCCCAATCTGTCATGTTATTTTCAGTCGGTCACAATATCACCCAACCTAATACAAAATGGACAATTGTTTCTGGATATGTATCACAGAATCTGCATTTTTGGCTACCACAGTTTTTCACTGTGTGCTTGGTAATTTCTAGTTAGTTGTCTTTCCTTTGTTTTTTTAAGGTTTTTGCTGCAGCAGTAGATGTATTATATTTGCTTTGCATTTCTTCACCCACTTGAAAATCCATGTTGAACTTGTTGGCTTCTGTTATTACTGAATACAGCTTCTTATATCTCTCATGTTCTTTGACACAGATCATACTCTAGTATTCTGTAGTCTCCAGGTATCTTTGAAGGCCGAATTTTGTAGTTTTGTAAGAGAGTCGTAGTTGAACTAATCCTCTGCTTCCTTCGGATCTGGGCACATACAGACGATCAACATCAACCTGATAAAAGCTGGTGAAATATTTCTGTATGTTTATCACAGAATCTGCATTTTGGAATAAAATAATTTTCAGTGTGTATGCTTGGTAATTTCTAGTTAGTAAGCCTTTCGTCCTGTGCAGCAAGAATAAAACTTTCGGTTTCGCCTTTTAAGCCTGCACGACGTAGCCACTGATGGGTATGGGAGTTGTCTACATTAGATTGTTTGGTACGGGCAGATTATTGGCCGTGAAGCTATTTGTCTTGACATCGTTTCTGTATCTGGTCGGATGCAGTTACCTTTGCATCCTTTTTTAAGTATTTTGCAGCTGCACTAGGTGTATCATATATTGGCCCACTCTATCATGCCAGGACGTATAATAAGTATTAGTGGATGCCAATACCACACAACCTGATACAATGTTCTTCTGGATATTTATCACAGAATCTGCATTTTGGGCCACGGCAATTGTTCCGTATATTTGCTTGATAATTTCTAGTTTAGCAAGTATTGATCCTATGCAGCAAGAATAAAACTTTAGGTTTCAGTTTTTAACCCTGCACGGCGTAGCTTTTCATGGGTACGGGATTTGTCTACATCAGCCTGTTTGGTACTGTTAGAATATTGACCTTCAAGAGGTTTATCCTGCTATGGTTTCTTTATCTGGTAGATTGCATTTGTCTTTCCTTTGTTTTTTTAAGGTTTTTGTTGCAGCAGTAGATGTATTATATTTGCTTTGCATTTCTTCACCCACTTGAAAATCCATGTTGAACTTGTTGGCTTCTGTTATTACTGAATACAGCTTCTTATATCTCTCATGTTCTTTGACACAGATCATACTCTAGTATTCTGTAGTCTCCAGGTATCTTTGAAGGCCGAATTTTGTAGTTTTGTAAGAGAGTCGTAGTTGAACTAATCCTCTGCTTCCTTCGGATCTGGGCACATACAGACGATCAACATCAACCTGATAAAAGCTGGTGAAATATTTCTGTATGTTTATCACAGAATCTGCATTTTGGAATAAAATAATTTTCAGTGTGTGTGCTTGGTAATTTCTAGTTAGTAAGCCTTTCGTCCTGTGCAGCAAGAATAAAACATTCGGTTTCAACTTCTCTTCCGGTACTACGTAGCCACTTGTGGGTAAGAGGTGTGTCTACATTAAGGTTTGTTTGGTACTGGTAGAATATTGACCGTGAAGAGGTTTATCTTGCTATCGTTTCTTTATTTGGCTTCGACAGGCATTTGATATAAATTTCTTTTCGAGATGCATTTGATATAAATAGTGATCATTATTTCAACACTTTATTATCAAATAGATTCATATCTCAGTTATCTATTTGTGCAACATTTCCATGCA